CTTCATCATCTTCATCAACAATCAAATCCATTTTGAACAAATTTTTTTTTTTTTTTTTTTTTGTTGATGATGAACCCAGCAGAACCCAGCAACTCAACATCATCATCAGCTTCGTCATCTTCATCAACAATCAAATCCAGATTTTGAACAAATTTTTTTTTTTTTTTTTTTTTGTTGATGATGAACCCAGCAGAACCCAGCAACTCAACATCATCATCAGCTTCGTCATCTTCATCAACAATCAAATCCAGAATTTTTAAAAATTTTTTTTTTTTTTTTTTTTTTTTTTTTGTTGATGATGAACCCAACAGAACCCAGCAGCTCCTTCTTCCTCTTCTTCTCTTCTTCTTCTTCTTCTTTTTCTTCATCTATAGATATAAAGATATATATATATATATATGGATGAACCAGTAGCAGACCCCGTTCTTCTTCTTTTTTTTTTTCTTTTTTTTTTTTGGAAAATTGGCCCCAAAACGACGTCGTTTTGGGGCGCTGCTGGAAAGGGCCGCTGGGTGTGGCGGCCGAGGATCCGAACTCAAGGTGCTTGGGGTTGTGCTTATGGTCTCTCAAACTAAGAGAGAAAAGAAAAGTTGTGTAAAGGGAAAAGATTTTTTTTTAAATTTTTTTTAAAAAAGGGCAAAAATGACGTCCTTTTTGAAGTACTGTAGGGAGGCTCGCAGAGAAACCCGACAGAGGATCCAAACTCAGGTTTATCCTCCTTTGTAATATTTATGATTGATTGATGATATTACATATTAATGATTACATTGTATCGTCGTTATACTAAAATTTTAACCATCATATTAGCAGAAAGAGACTAGAGAAAGAGGGAGAAATGGAAAGGGTTTTCTTCACAAAGGAAGAGACTAGGAAGTCAAGACATTGTCGAAGAAGGGGGCGTTTGTGTGGCGAAACCAACGAACACACGTTGTCACATAGGATAGTGAAACGGAGCCACGGGACATGAAAGAGGCATTCACGTGGGGTCAACTATGATATTTTTGGAGTTCAAAGTGGACTTCTGATATGGTACCTTTCATACATTTAAAATAAAAATTATGATAAAAAAATTACATATTCACTTTTTATTTATTTATTTTTACAGTTCTTACAAAAATGTTATATATAACGATTAAAATTTACTTAAATATATATAACAAAGTTTATAAGAAGAAAAATATCAAAATATTCCCAACTCAAGTGTACTAAATAAAAAAATAAATAAATTATAACAAAATATCAGTTAAACATCACCATTCTCACATTTTTAAATACAAAATTGTCAATCGGGCTTGCACAATATAACTTATCAACTAAATCATTTTCAATAGATCATATTGTCAATTCATTAAATTTTTTTTGTGACATAGGTTGTTAATATATTTTATGTTAGTGCTTTAGGCTTTAGATTAGTGCCTTTACTTTTGGTTAGTGGATCCACTTTTGGCATGATGATGTTTGTAATTTTCTCTCCTATATAATGGAGAGTGTACCTCTTTATTCATATAGCATTCAATACATAAACATTTCAATACATAATTCATTCTCTCTGTATCTCTCTCTATCAATTTATCTTACATAGGTGACCGAATGTAATATTTATTTAACTTTTAATTCAAAAAGTTTCTTTACTCACAAACAACTATAACTGTAACTAATCATATTATATACACAATTCATAAATTTGAGAAATAACTTTTCATTAATTTCATATGTGATTTTTTTTAATTATTTATTATTATATTATTATTTTTGAGCTAGCGTAATACCTAAAAAAAAAATCTGAGCTCATTTTTTCACTCATTTTTTTTAGGAATCCAAAGCAGTGGCTTTGCCGGTTTTGGGCAAAGTCGGGCCTGCATTAATGATCTATCCGATGCTTCTCTCTGCAACACTTTACAAGATCGACGCCACTGGGAGATGGGTTTGGGTTTGATTTGAGGATTTGGATTTGGGTTTGGTCCGATTGAGGGTTTTTGTTTACAGGTTGTTGTCTCCTCATCTATGTGTTTATCATTATTTTTAGTTGCATGATTTTATCATCATAATTCTTCAATTAAGTTTTCGTATTTTAATCTGTATGAACTTTTTTTTCCCTTCGTTCTTTTGGTGCATTCTTATCGTAAGTCCTCTCTCATTCGTTGGTGAGTGAATAATCACAGAAAATTCATTGATCTGTTTGCATGTGTTGATACTCTCAACATTCTTCCACATGCATGCTACTGCTCATGTAATCCCAATTTATTTATGTTATTCTTGTTGCTCTTCTTTTGTCTCTCGCCCGTGCATTCTGTTACTTGCTTCGACTATTTGAATTAAAATTGCTCAAATATGTAAAAATAACTGGTGGTTTTGGTTAGTCTTTTTGTTTATTTTTTATTGTGTTGGGCTTCTCTCAAATTGAGAATCTAACTTGAGAGAGCATTTGGGTTTAGTGAATCCATTGTGAGTCTAATTTCAGTAATTCGAATCGTTCACTTTTTAGAATTTATTGAAAAAAATAAATACATAAAAAAATCAAGATGATTGGACTTCGGAAGATATATATTTGAATCACATTTGGCTTAAAAAAATGGACAACAGATATAATTTCAAGAATAACTGTTTACTTTTTTAAGACAAATGTGATTCAAACGTATATTTACTAAAATCCAATCATCTTGATTTTTTATATGTTTATTATTCTCAATGAATCATAATGAACTTAAATTGGACTCATAATGAACCTACTAAGCTTAAATATTCTCTCAAATTGACTTTTCAGTTTGAGAAGTCAAACTCTTTTTTATTTGTGTTAGATATGAGGGTTGTGGTGTTGTTTGATTTGGTGAATATTTTTTTTTTAATTTTTATTTTTTTGCTTCAGACCAATTGTTTGATGGAAGTCCCCAGAGTGTGTTGGGCCTCTTATGATTGCAACGGTTGACATTTTACAGCACATGAAATAAATCTGTAAAAAAATCAAATTAATCTGTTGTTTGATCAATTAGATTTCTTTACATATATTTTATTCAATATATTCTCAAAATTAAATCGTTCGAATCATTTAAATGGATCCAAAATAGGTTTCATAGGCCACACAATAGTGGTGGTTGCGCCGAGTGCACAACCACCAATTTTGTTTACAGAGATCAGAGTTTTTTTCTATATTGATCTTAAGATAACTAACTTAAGTACTGGAGGGGTTTTTAGGCATATATCCACTGTCGGTAAGCTCACCTGAATTGTGAACGCAGGTCTTACGATGTTATTTCAAGATATTCAAGTTTGATCACAAGGAGTACTCGTGCGACGAGTATTTGGTACTCATACAATGCTATTATGAAGCCATATACATCATTTTAAGAGTAGACATTACATGATAAGTCATAGGCGCTGTTTGGGAAGTGGCTAAAGAGGCTATTATAGCCTAAAATAAAAATTTAGCCAAAAAGCCCACTGTTGCAAGCTTTTTCAAAAAAAAAAAAAATAAGCTGCACAGCCGGCAGTGTAGCCTACACTGTCAGCTGCAGAAATTGTTCCATCAGTGCATAAATTACGATTTTACCCCTTGACAGCGATTTAAAAAAATATATTTTTAGGGACAAATTTGTCATTCTAATTTCAAACATCATTTCAACACATTTTTCAATACAACAACTCAAATAAAATTCATCTCATCTTCCCAAACACAAAAATCAAAATAGCTTACTAAAATAGCTAAAAAATCAAATAGCCTACTAAAATAATCACTTCCCAAACGAGGCCATAATTGAAGATCACAATACTCGTAAATTATACACACGTAAAAAAAAAAAAAGAATCATAAAATAAATTAATGACACTGCGTATAAATTTTTGTTATAAAGTATAAAAGAAGTGCGTCATTAGCAAAAGTATGAAGAAAGAAGTTGGTTTTCATATAATTATATATCATTAAAATAAGATGACTCTATTTTATTACCTTCTTCTGGGGGCAGAGTTCCGTTTGAAGTGGAATCGACAATTGTTTTGCAAGTCAGCGCCGAAAGCAGCAAGATAGAACATAACAACCTGCATAGTAACAGATGCTCTTTCATCTCTCTCTCTCTCTCTCTCTCTCTCTCTCAAAAACAGATGATGGAGTTAATGAAGCAGGGTGATGTTCTTTAAATATACAATGTATTTTATAATTATTTGAAAAACGATTAGGTAAAGCTGTTTTGTATCCTTTGACTTTAAAAGGAGAGTCCGATTATGAACGTATCAAGAAGCATCAAATAAAAATAAAAATAAAAAATAAATAAAACCTCATTTTTGGAACCACCACCCAAAATTCCAACTTTTAAAAGTGCCGAAAAATGATATTCATAGAAAATTTTTAACAAAAATAATATATACTGACATATATATATTATGTATATGGAAAATATTTGATAGCTCAAAATTTTGTGGCTCAAATGGCTCAAATCTGTCAAAACGACGTCGTTTTACATTCATTTACACTCAAAACGACGTCGTTTTGAGGGATTTGAGCCATTTGAGCCACAAAATTTTGAGCTACCTACCATTGTTGTTATATATATATATATAAATTACATTGTAAATATCTCATTTTAACCGTTCCTAAGACTTGGACGTTTGAAAATAAGAATATATTATCTCACAAAGATAGAATTTAAGTTTTAATCACAACCTTCACTCATTTTAGCCAAATTATTTTAAATCGGTTTTAGCCTAAATTATACATATTTGGCCTGCTAAAAAATATTTTATTAGTACATTAATTTTATTTTAAAATTTAAATATTTTGTGTGTTTTTATATATATATGGATATTTATACATATATTTATTCAAATAATACTTTTTATATATTATTGTATTATCAAGTGCACAGTGTTTTTTCACTGTGCACCATTTGAAAAATTCATCTCTCCACTGTTTCAAAATTTGCTTGTTTGTTGAAAAAGGCTGGAGCTGATGGAGGGGAGTGGAAGATCTGAAGAGGATCAAAGGGAAAAAAAGATCAGAAAAATTAGAAAAAGAGAGAAGGAAAAAAAATCTGAGATCAGAAAGAAAAGAAGGAAAAAATAAGAAGAAAGAGAGGAAAAATATTTTCTTAGATATTTTATTTTTTTGAATCAAATCTTTTTTTCTATTCTCTTTATTGTCTTTTCACCAACACCAAAACACCATTAAAGCTGAAATTTCGAATTTTGAACTGAGAATTGAGAACACATTCCACAACCTTGAGAGTGATCGAAAGAAAGTTTGTAAATCAGAAAATTCTTCATTTTTCCAAAATGTGAATTTTCGCAAACTTTCATTTAAATTTAAAAATGAAATATAATTTGTTTAAATTCGTTTACTGCTTTATTTATTGTTTAAATGGAAGGTTGCACCACCTACATATCTGTTGTAATTTACTGCTTTACATAAACTGATGTAATCTATCACTTTAAACGATCGGTGTTTCACCACCTATATAAATTGTTATAATTTATTGCTTTAAATGGTCAGTCGAGACCTTGTAATTTATTACTTATATATAAATTGTTATAATTTATTGCTTTAAATGGTCAGTCGAGACCATCTAATTTGTTAGTGACGTGACCCCACCAAATGAATAGTGTCCGGCGGTGAATAGTAACCTCCGACGGTAAATAGTAACCTTCAACGGTGAATAGTACCAGTAGATGAATAGTGACCGCCGGATGAATAGTGCTCCGACCAAATGTGTTTTCCCGGGCAAAACAGAGCAGTCACCCAGCAACAGGTAGAATAATTTCCAGGATTAATAGTGCTCCGTCGGATGAATAGTAATCGACAAATCAATAGTAACTTTTTTATTTTTATTTTATTCGTATAATTTGTTAGATTCAGTTTATGTTGTAATAATTTCTCAATCCCACGTTTTTTTATTCAATTTTGTAATTATTCAATATTGTAATATTTTCCAACCCCCGCTTCTTTCTACCCCTTTATATGAATGTCTTCCAACCCCATTTTTTTCTATCATTTTTATTTACTTGCTCTCCATATTTTGTAAATAGCATCATATTTTATTTTTCATCATATCCATAATTTGTATCCATATTTCGTGCATTTAGATTCAGCTAATTTTTCATTTGTGGGTTAATCAGTTTTTATGTGATTTTTGTGCATTGCCTTGAGATGATTCACGTGCCATATATTGGAAGTCAAATTTTTAGTTGCATTCTTGTGTATGTATTGCATTAGGATTTTTTTTTATATAAGATCATGCATATTTTGTTAACTTTGTTTTATAGTTATTCGCGGGACGCCAGTAAATATATGAGTGCTTGTGCTTTAACATCCTACTTGTGTGTGTTTTCTTTACTATGTTTAGCATCTTACCATGTGGCTATTTGCTTATTTGATAACTCTATGCATGCTGGTGGGTGAAGGGTTTGTTGTTCAATTTGGAATAAAATTGATTTTCATATTTGTAAAATTCTATTTTCTGTGTTTTGTACACTATTCAAAACATTTTCAAAATAATGAAATCAAACCGTTCCAAAATGAACAACACAATCTATATTTGTTTGCTTCACTTAGTAAATTTTAGGATTTATTAAATAAATCAAAAAATGAGCATATAAAGTAAGTAAAAATCATATCATAGTTTAGTAGAAGCCGATCTTTTGATCTGGTGAGTGGGGGTGCTCAATTAATGACCTTTCCCCCACATACCTAAGGTTCCGAGTCAAGTATCATTGGTTATGACGAACAGTGGCCTTGGCACGATTTACTTGTTTCCTAATTTTTCCAAAATATAAGGTGGCGACTTTGAGATCTAATGACGCAGTTCATTTCTGGCAAAGGTTTTTTTGCAATAAAATGGATTTTCCATAATGTTACAAAAGTTGGTCTCTTATCTACGTTTCACATTGCACTCGTGAGACTAGATCAAAGAGATCGAGGGTCCGAATTGTTTAGCATGCACTGGTAACCCCCCAAGTGATGCGACAATTTCTAATGACACCACTGGAGATTTTATGAAACCTTGACTCGAACTCCATGATATGACTTTTATTTTCAAATATATGTTCATTGCATTTCATGCATTGATGCACTTAAAGTTTTTGTGTTGCCCAGATACTGGTGGAAGCACAGGCAAACTTTTTGTGACTCTATACCTATCTCCACGTTACTTTTGAGACCTTGTGTTAATAACCTTTTGAGATCTGTCAAAAAAGTAGCTCTGTTATCTAAGGTTCTCAGACTTCGAAGAGAGACTATATTGACTCTTTCAACTTCTTGGGATCTTCATTGGTTATTACCCAAAGGACTCTTAAATGACGTCACCTTGACTTTAACCCCTAGACGCCAACCCTGTACATATAGTGAGTTATAGTACCTTCCAAAATTAGGACAGGATGCCCTCCCATTTCTAGGATGTATGATATCACTTGTTTGAATAGTAAAGCTCTAGATCATTTCAAAGCTAGGACAGGATAACCCTACCCTCCATAGGGGTGTTTGTTCTCTTTTCTGCTATGTTCTATGTATGGAAATTTGTCTAGAGATTCTCAAATTCAAATCAGTGGTTCATGCATATCAGTTGTGAGGTTGAGTTAATTTTTTCGATGAGGCAGACAGTGATTAGTTGTGCTGCCGAAATTTTGATTGGGGGTGTTATTTTTGGTTTTCTTTTTGCTAAGTTGTTGTAGCACCATAACTTTAGAAAAATTCCATATCCCACAAAGTCTACCAACATGAATCCATAGAATTTACGGGGTATCAGACCATTTCTGTGATCAAGAAATGACCACTTATTGATTGCAAGAATTTTATTTTGAACGCGATAGATGGCCTGCACTAAAACTGGCAATTCGATAAAGGTTTTCATTTCAAGTTCTGAATCGGATGTTGAGTCCGAGTCTGATTCCATTAAGTTTGTGGAGTCGGAGTCAGACTCGAGTTAGTCAAGTCAGCCAGAATCTGTTGATTTCGGGAGTGTTAACCTAGACATCTCTGTCCTATCTAGGTTTTCTTTGTCATTTTCTTTTGAGTCTGTTGTCATCATTGAGTCAGAATTTCTTTTGAATAAAAGTGCCGTAATTTTCACCTATTTCTCTGTGCCTTTAAATCATTGCATTGACCATAATTTTCAAAAACTTTTTCCAAAACTCTAATAAAAACAAAGAGAAAGAAATTCCTTGGAATTTGCAAAATTTGATCGACTAAGAGGAAGAGATGCATGTTAAGCACTTGATGGATGGGATTGTTTTAGTTAGTCTGGGTACTAAGAAGGATCCTCGCTTGGTCCAGATTGGTTCTACGTTGTCTTCAGAAAACGCGACCAATTAGTCGCTTTATTAAAATATTTCAAAAAAAATGTTTTGTGTGGTCCTACGAAGACATCTTTGGAATTGATCCTGAGATTGTACAACATAGGATCCCTCTCGACCTGAGGCCCCAACCCCCTAGCTTTCAAACTTTGATTCTGACTAGACTATGAGACTTTGCATAGCCAGATTGGAAGCTGCCCTAGAACTAGAGGCAATGAGGTTGGATGTGATTGGAGATTCAAAACGAGTCATTTCTCAAGCAAATGGAGATCGGAAAGAAAGTTAAATCTCAGAATATTAGAGAAGAAGATTTAGTGTTGAAGGACAATCGTGTTCTTATCCACAACCTTATGGGAAAATTCAGACCCAATTGGACGGGTCTCTACATCATCGAGACTATTTGGTTAGGAAAAGTAGTCAATCTCATGAATTTGGATAGCTTCAAAATCTCACAATCAACATGAACAAGCTAAAACAAGGTACTACCGTTAAGAGGTTCGTGTAGACGTCCCCGAACGCCCCGGGAGGGAAATCCCGTTCTGTTCATTTGGGGTCACTACAGCTCAGGACTCTCAAATGTCACGGTTCTAAATCTGGACCAAAGAGTCCAAATCCGGCAAATCGTTTTGAGAAAACAGATTTTGAAAGAAGTGCCAAACATGGACTGCTTTGCCAGATACAGAGTCGCCACCTAAATGTTTTATTTTGGGAAATTTAGGAAACCCTGACTCGTTGCCTAAGGCCACGTGTCCGTCATCACCAAAGTTGCCTCGGCTCGGGAACTTGGGTACGATTGGGGAAGGTCACTTCGTGAGCACCCCCGCTCGCCCGATCAA